TAGAACTTCCTGTCCTAGTACCAATCCAAAAGTTCATGTAGGGCTGGCAAGATAGCTCAGAAGATAAAGGTGTAGGTGGAGTTTTTCATCAGGACCTCCTGCTCCCAAATAACCACATAGAGACTTAATATTAATTATAAATGTTCGGCCAATAGCTTAGGCTTGTTACCAACTAGCTCTTATTAGATTAGCCCATATTTCTCATCTGCGCTCTACCGTGTGGTGATACCTTTTTTCAGCACAACATGTTCATCCTGCTTCTTTATGCTTCTCCTGGTGACTCTGCCCTCTTCTTCCCCGTAAGCCCTGCCTAACCTCTGTCTACCCAGCTATTGGCCATTCAGCCCTTACTAAATCCATGAGAATAATGAATATCCACGGTGTACAGAAAGCTTGTTCCACAGCATAAAGGTCCTTGCTACTAAGCCTGATAGCCCGAGTTGAATCCCCAAGGACCACATAATGAAAGGAGAGAACAGGCTCTCACAAGTTGTCTTCTGACCTCCACATATGAGCCAGGCCATGTGTGAACAGTAGACAGTATGGTCCACATGTATTAAATAAAAATAAAGAAAAATGGTAATGAAATTTATTATTTTCTGGGAGAAGGAATTTATTAAAACAGAGTCTTATGTAGTACAGGCTGACCTTCAATTTACTATGCAGCTGAGGGTGGCCTTGAACTCCTGATCCAGTCTATACCTGTGTGCCACCCTGCCAGGCCTCACTTAATGATTTGTTTGTTTGTTTGTTTGTTTGAGACAGGGTTTCTCTGTGTTGCTTTGGAGCCGGTCCTGGAAGTAGCTCTCTAGACCAGGCTGGCCTCGAACTCACAGAGATCCACCTGCCTCTGCCTCCTGAGTGCCTGAATTAAAGGTGTGCTCCACCACCGCCCGGCTAACGATTGTATTTTTTAAATGAAACTCAAGTCAGCAAATTTCTATGCCAGGCATTCTAACACAGTACAATCCAAAGATATATTAATTTGATACTTAACTTACAGCTGAGGAAAGACAGTGAGAAAATATTGAGTCTTTGCTTTCTGTAATTAAACCATTATGCTTTTGTAAGAACAGAAAGCTTTGTGTGTACAGTAAAAAACTGCAGTTCATAACATTGATCTCAAATCTAAGCCAAGATGTTTCAGGCAAATGTTGGTGCTGCGAGGCTTGATTGTATGCACACTACATACATGCTGCATATTCAGAACCAAACAAACATTGTATATATATATATATATATATATATATATAGTGAACATTGACAATGCAACACAGATAAATATGATGAATCCAAAGGGTACCTTTGGGTTCATGGGGCGGCGCATTAATTTTTGGTCAGTGGACATTCAGAAAGATTTTACCATTGCCAATCTTTGCATGGCTTCCCACAGTTAGTCATGAGGCCCCCCTAAGTTCATCACCCACAGATTAAGAACCTTGGGCTGGAATTGAAGAAATGACTCAGCAACTAAGAACACTGCTCTTCCAGAAGACCCAGTTCCATTCCCAGCACCCACATAGTGGCTCACAACCATCTATAATCCAAATTCAAGGGGATTTGATGCCCTCTTCTCGTCCCACACAGGCCATGCATGCATGTACAACACATATGTGCTAGCTGTAGGTGAAGTTTTCCGTCAGGACTGCTGGGTCCCCAATAAACAGACAGAGACTTAAAATTAAATTATAAATGCTCGGTCGATAGTTTAAGTTTGTTACTAACTTGCTCTTCCAACTTAAATTAACCCATATTTCTTATCTGTGCTTTACCATGTGGTGGTACCCTTTTTTAGCTTGGCATGTTCATCTCCTGCTTCCTCTGCATCTGGTTGTCAACCCTGTCACTCTGCCTTTCTATTTGCCAACATCCTCTCAGATTGGCTCTCCCACCTAACCTCTTACTGCCTAGTTATTGGCCAGTCAGCATTTTTATTAAGCCAATCAGAAGGTGCCTTGGCAAAGACACATCTTCACAGTTTATAAAAGATTATTCCATAACATCTGGCAAGGCACCTGTACACATACAAATAAAGTCAAAATAAAAAGAAGCAGAGGCAGGGGAGATGGCTCAGCGCTTATGAATTCCTACTGTGAACCAAGTGCAGTTTCTAGCACCATGTCAGATGGTTCTCAACTGCCTGCAACTCCAGCTCCGAGGGGATTTGACATCGGCCTACTCAGGCAGCCACATTCACATGCATACACCTCCCCCATAATCACATACAATAAAAAAGACATGTTTTTCAGAAGGTGGGGGATATATTACACATTTAACAAATGTTCATTATTTTCTTTCTTTGTTGCTTTTTGTTTAAGACAGGACCCCATGTAACCAGACTGACCTGAACTTTTTTTTTTAAGATTTATTTATTTTTATGAATATGAATGTTTTGCTTGCATGTATGGTACATGTACCATATGCTTGCATGCCTAGTCCCCTCAGAGGTGAGAAGAAGGCACTGGATCCTCTGGAACTGGAGTTACAGACAGTTGTGAGTTGTCATGTGGGTGCTGGGAACTGAAATCCAGGCCCTCTGCACGAGCTTCCAGTGCTCTAAACTACTGTGCCTCCTTCTCCAGTCCTAGCCTGAACTTTGTATCCCCTGCCTCAGTCTGCCATGTGCTGAGATTATAGACAAGCACCACCATACCCAGAATGTTCATTGTTTTCAGGGTCCTCGGTCCCATAGTTTTGTGATATCGTTAATCTGGCAGATGAAGTTCACGATGGCTCTGAGCATACAGTAGTGAAGAGACACGCGCTCTGTCGTCAAGAAGTGAAGGCCCAAGTGACATTGGGCTCAGCCTGACAACTAGAATTCAGTTTCCAGGACCATATGGTAGGAAGAGAGAACCAATTCCTGTAAACTGTCCTCTGATCTCTAGATGCATGCCATGACTCAAATGTACACACACATACATACAGCAGAGAGAGAGAGAATAAATAAATGTAATTTTAAAATATTTACAAAGGGCTGGAGAGATGGCTCAGAGGTTAAGAGCACTGACTGCTTTTCTGGAGGTCCTGAGTTCAATTCCCAGCAACCACATGGTGGCTCACAACCATCTGTAATGAGGTCTGGTGCCCTCTTCTGGCCTGCAGGCATACATGGAAGTTGAACACTGTGTACATAATAAATAAATCTTTTAAAAAAAATATTTACAAAGAAATTGACATTATTGTATGGGGGATGACAACACTCTACAGTGAGGAAACAAGAATGATAATGCGGAAGAATAAGGAAGGGACGTGCCATCTGCCTGGAAGTGGGAGGGCAGAAGAAAACGGTAAGGAGTGGTCGCAGCTTGGTTCATCAAAGGCACCCCCCCATGTGATTTGGGGTCCTGGAATTCTGGCTAGGGCAGCGAGAGGGTGAAGATAGACACACATCCAGCCAAGCTAGGTTCAGGTAGGATTCTCTACCCACTGCTCAGGCCTCAGTGAGTTTATTATAGACAACATCGAGGGAGAGACTAGTTAGTTTTTTGTTTTTGTTTTTTGTTTTTTGAGACAGGGTTTCTCTATGTAACAGTCCCGGGTGTCCTAGAACTCACTCTGTAGGCCAGGCTGGCCTTGAACTCACAGAGATCCGCCTGCCTCTGCCTCCCAAGTGCGTCACCACTGCCCGCCCGGCTGGGAGTGACTAGTCTTGGTAGCAGATCTCTATAGGTGAGCAATCCCTGTGAACATCAGGGAGGGGGAAGCTGCAGCTGTCTGTCCTTGCTCACACTGGTCAATGGTTCATAAACACTCGTACTGGACCCCCAAGGAAAGCTTTGCCAATTCTCCTGAGCCTGGCCCATGTGGGTAAAGGCTTTGCCAAATTGTGTCATAGGTCCGAGGACTCAGAGTTCTCGCCATGACCATTGAATGTCAAAATACACCTTCACTTAGGACTTTGCTCGCTCAGGGCTCATCCCTACAAAAAGCAAAGGAAGTGAGTACACCAGCTACCAGAGCTAACCAAGCAGGTGAGAACTCTATCTCCAAGGATACTGATAAGAAAAGCAAACCAGGGGCTGGAGAGATGGCACAGTGTATTTACTGCTCTTTGAGAGGACCTAAATTTGGTTCCCAGCATCCATGTCAGCTGGGTATCTGATAATCTCCTGTGGCCTTGAAGGGCATCTGAACAATGTGAATGCATTCATTCAGACATAACACATACATTTAGATAGATAGATAGATAGATAGATGGATAGATAGATAGATAGATAGATAGATAGATAGATAGATAGATGGGGACTGTGACCCCTCTGTCTCCTGCCTACCAGAGTAAACTTGTTTTCCTATGCTTTCAGCTGCTCTGTGCAAACAACTTGTTTTGCAACTGCTCTGAGCACGAGACCCTCGGGAGTTCCTGATGGCAGGGGAGTGGTTTCTGGTGAGCTTGCATCTGAGAGTTAGGGCATGGAAGGAGACCCTATATAAGCTGCCCTAGAACACACTAAAGAGGCATTCTTGGCATTATCCGTGTCTGTGTTTCAATCTCCAGCCCCTTGCCCCACTCGCGAGCCATACCTTAGCACGTAGTGCAGGTGTTGCACTACTATATATATATGTAGAGAGAACAACAAACCACCAGCATTGATGTTGCACACCTTTAATCCCAGCACTCTGGAGGCAGAGGCAGGCGGAACTACAGAGTGAGTTCCAGGACAGCCAGGGCTATGCAGAGAAAACCCTGACTCAGAAACAAACAAAAGCAGCGAAGCAGAGCAGTAGATTTCGATGCCCGCCCTCTGTCTGGCGCAAACGCGTGGAACGAAGAAAAAAGCATGAATAAAGCTGAGCTGGCCTTGAGCTTGCTGTGTCACAGAGGATGTCTGTGAATACCGGATACCCCTGCCTCCACCTTCCAAGTGCTGGGACCACAGGCATGTGCCACCATGTCCCCGCGTAAGTGTGTCCGTTTGTATGCTGCATGTCTTCTGTTTAAGGCACTAAGAGAATGTAACCATCCTCTGCCCTTTGGTCTAGGAATGTAAAGCAATGGCTGCCACACAAGATAGCTGTGTGTATTTGAAATTTGTGGTTTTCCAGACAAAAAGCTCTCAGACATCTCCCTCTCCCTCTTCAGTTTTCAAACTTCCAGTTTTGATAAAGTCTAAACAATGGAGAATCTCTGAGCCAGATGACTTCTAAGATTCTTCCCATCTTTGCATTTATGAAATTCTCAGCTCAGCAGTAATGAAGGCGTGGAGCTAAAGAGAGTTTAGAATCTTCCAGCCAAATCCTCTCCAACAGATCCTGGGTAAAATAAAGACGGAAGTGATTGCTAAGGCAGGAAGATACAGGAACTTGGTACCCTCAAAAATCCTCCCAAACCACAAAATACCTCAGGTATCCATCTCCACTTGTTGTCCTGATCTGAGGAAATGTTCTAAAGAAGAGAGACCACAGAAATCACAGAGAGAAGAGATTGGGGGAGGGGGGACATGACATCGATTTGGTGCGGTTCTTGCAAACCTTTAAAATAGAGCAATTGAAGCAATGATGGGGTTTCATGACCGGCGGCGGCTCTGAAGGGAATGCTCACAGCTCCTGGCGATTCTCAGAGTAGGTGGGAGAGGAAGGAAAATGATTTTTCTCCTCACCTTCCACTTAGGAGAAAATAGAGGCAATGAAAAGCAAAAATCTCTCCTAATGTCCCATTCCAGGGGGGGACACATGAAATGCTGCGCCTTGCAGCTCCTCAGCCGGGCCCTGGGCAGGCCCTCCCATCCACGCTCCAGAAACTAAGTATTCACCAACACACCTGGCACTGCTGTTACCATGGTGACATTTTTTGCATTACCCTCACCTTTTGCATTCCTTAGCTTGGGGGCGGAGGCTGGTGCAGGGCACAGTTCAGTCTTCATATTTCTCCCTCCCAGCTTCTGGAAAATGGAAGGAGAGAAAAGGGAAAAGGATTCGGATCTCCTTTGCCTGCTTCCTTGACTCCGAGTGTTTCTCAGTTTCCTTACTAGACTTCATTGCCAAGGGACCTAGGATGGAGGCAGAGGATGGAAGAAACTCTGATGGATCCCAGTAGACCTACGTTCAAATTCGCAACCCCAGAGGGCTGGAGAGATGGCTCAGGGGTTAAAAGCACTGATTGCTCTTTCAGAGGACCCAGATTCAATTCATTGCACTTACCTGGTAGCTCACAACTGTTTATAATTCTAGTTCCAGGGAACCTGACACCCATGGCAAAATACCAATGTATGTTAAATAAAAATAAATAAATTTAAAAAAATTTTGGCTGGGCAGTGGTGGTGCACGACTTTAATCCCAGCACTGGGGAGGCAGAGGCAGGCAGATCTCTCTGAGTTCTAGGCCAACCTGGTCTATGGAGCAAGTTCCAGGATAGGCTCCAAAGCTACACAGAGAAATATATATATATATATATATATATATATATATATATATTAAAAACAATTGCAATCTCTCCAGGAATCCAAACTTTCCCTGGGCCATGTACTGGCAGATCTGAGGGAATAGTAGTTGGTCAGCAACAGACAGCCGGCTGTCCCTAGGGAAAGTCGAGAGCACAGATGGCATGAGCCAGAATAAAAAGCACCAAAGCAGGTGCTGCTTTCTCTGCCTCCCGCCCTCCCTGGGATTGAACCTGAGGCCGGAAGATGCTGGCAAGCCCTGTATTACTAAGCTGAGCTATCCCCCTGCACCCTCCCTTCTTCATTTTGAGATGGTGTCTTACTGCATAGCCCAGGTTCGCTTTGAACTAGCAGTCCCACCTCAGCCTGCCACCCGATCTCTCTAAGCGCTGTCTCTATCACTTCGTAGGAAAACAGAAAGATGGGAAGCCCAAACTTAATGGGAGAGACTCAAGAAAAGCCAAGCGCTTAGGAGTCAGATGTGTGAGCTCACCAAAACTAAGGGTGAGAAGAAAAGCCAGGCGTGCTTATAATCCTGAGATCGGGGAGACGAGGAAGGAGGGACATGGGTTTGAAGCCAGCCTGGAATTCTCAGCAAGGCCCCGCCTTGAGAAACAACCAGCTGGGCAGCGGTGGTGCAAAACCTTTAATTCTAGCACTCGAGGAAGAGGCAGGCCTATCTCTGTGAGTTCAAGGCCAGACTGGTCTACAGAGGGAGTTCCAGGACAGTCAGGACTGTTGCACAGAAACCCTGTCTCAAAAAAACCAAACCAAACCAAACCAAACCAAAGACCCTAAAAACAAAAGACAAAATCAACCAGACAAAACACTCACATCCAGCACACAGACCCAGACAATCCAAATCTCAATTTAGTAACCTTGGATATCTCTGAACTTTGGTCCTTCAGTGTCTTATTTATTTATTTTAGATTTATTATGTATACACAGTGATCTGTCTGCTTTCATGCCTGCAGGCCAGAAGAGGGCACCAGATCTCATTACAAATGGGATGTGAGCTACCTGGTTGTTGTGAATTGAACTCGGAACCTTTAGAAGAGGAGGCAGTGCTCTTAACCACTGAGCTATCTCCCCAGCCCCTTTTCAGTGTCTTTACTTGTAAAAGGACGGTCCTAATCATACCAATCCCGAGGGCTGTTGCTGGAATTCAGTAAGATACGACAGATACGACATAGAAATCACCTAGGGTCAGTATACAAAGGTGGCTACGACATAGAAACCACCCAGGGTCAGTATACAAAGGTGGCTCCTTCTGAATAGGCGTCCCTGACCAAGCAGCCACTGTTCCCTAAGCTGGACTGCACCGCTCTTACTGTTTCATGCGTGTGGAACCTAGCTTCTGGCTGGCAATCCCGAAACACAACTTTCCAGCCTTTTTGGACTCTTGCCTTGGGCCCCTTCACTTTTGCTCTCTCTGCGTCTTTCAGGCTGTTGGGTAGTTTCCTTCCAGGTGCAGAAGTCTACAAACAATCCCCACCTGAGGCCCCTCTTCAGCATTCCCCTCTTCAACAACATCAGCCTCTACCCTAGACCAAAGGAAGAAAAGAAGGCCTGCCTGCATTGCCCTCCCCTGAAGACGGAGATGGGGGGAAAGGCAGGGTGTGCGTCACTCTTGACGCAATCTTACTCTCATTTCTTGGCCCACTTCCTGCTCCTCGAGTGTTTACTGAAGCCTGAATTCCACAGAAACCTCTGGAAGTGTGCACCGACAACAGTGGCAGGCAGCATGCATATCTGGCCCCGTTCCAGTTTAGGAAGAAAGTGATACTGTGCCCTGGGCTCGGGGACCCTGGAGAGAGAAATCCGGTATCAGGGGAATCCAGTGGGAGGGGCAAGGAAGGTAGATTGAGAGAAGGAGGCGTGGCTGAGAGATCGTCTTTTGCCTCCTGCCAGATCCAGCTTCCAGAACCCGCTCTGGAGAAACTAATAAATAGACTCTTTATCTAAGCTGTGTGGAGGAGGCTACCAAAAGGGGTCTCAAGTGACGGGAGCCTCAGAAGCAGCGTAGAGGCCCGTCTCTTCCCTGCCGGAACTCCTAAAGGAAAAGCAGCTTCTTGGAAGGGCCTTGTTTTCTAGCTATTTGCCCACGACTCTCTCATCTGAGGGGTCACAGGCTTGACCTGGTCGCCTGGGGACATCCTTAGAAAAGTAGGGCGCATTTCTAAGTTCAGGTTCAGGACGTGGGATTTGGGCAGGTATTTAGTAGCTGCCCTAGGCAAGCCATTTCATCTGCTTCTCAACTTCCTCCTGGCAAAAGACAACCGGCGAAAGCTCACCTCACAGATCCGGCCTCTGGGCTGCAGAACTGGCAAAGTTACAAGCTCTCAACAGCCATTAGAGCAGTGGTTCTCAACCCTTCTAATGCTGTGCCCCTTTAATTCAGCTCCTCCTGTTGTGGTGACCCCCCACCATCAAACCATTTCACTGCTTCTTCACAACGGGAAATTTTCCTGCTGTCATGAATCTTAATGTAAATATCTGAGAGGCAGGATATCTGATATGCAGCCCCTGTGGGGGGCAAGGCCCACGGGGTTGAGAAGAAGCTGCGACAGATGATGGTAGTCTTGTTTTATTTAAGCACCAAGGGTTGGGGAATCTTTTTCTGAAGGGGGGGGGGGGCTGGCTCAACAGTGATGCTTTTGTCAACATCTCATGACTATTTCCCAGTTATCAGGAGAGCCAGGCTTCCCCGCCCCCAGAGCTGTGAAACCCAGTACCTAAGCTTGCTCAAGCTCCTGAGTCACGCAGCAAGGCAAGGCCAAGATAATCAGATCAAGGAAACTCAATGCAGAGAGGGGAAAACCAAGCCACAGGGCTGGGGCCTTCACGTGGGACAGTTCCCACCGTGAGCTCCTCCAGTGAGCTTTCACTGCCGATGGCACAAACAAACCAGCAGAGTAACGTGTCAGAGACAACCTTACTTTAGCCAGTAGCTATGCCTTCCCCGGCTTGATATAAATTTTGCTTTTTCTTTCACATTTTTTATTTTATTTTATATGCATTGGTGTTTTGCCTGCATGTATGTCTGTGTAAGGGTGTCCGATCCCCTGGAACTGGAGTTATAGACAGCCGTGAGCTCCCATGTAGTAGGAATAGAATCCAGGTCCTCTGGAAGAGCAGTCAGTGTTCTTAACCACTAAGCCATCTCTCCAACCCCTGATTTTGTTTTTCTTTCTTTTTTTGTTTCTTTCTTTCTTTCTTCCTTCCTTTCTTTTTTTTTTTTTTTTAATAAGGCAAGAAGGCAAGAGTCTCACTTTGTAGCTCTGGCTGACTTGGAACTCACTATGCAGACCAGGCTGGCCTTGAACTCACAGAGCTCCTCCTGCCTCTGACTCTGTTTTTAGATGACTCTCTTTTTCCTCCACCTCCCACTGCTGGAAGGAGTGACACCCTGCCTCTCATCTCTCTCTCTCTGTCTGTCTCACTCTGTCTATCTCTCTCTGTCCGTCTCTCTCTCTCTCTCTCTCTCTCTCTCTCTCTCTCTCTCTCTCTCACACACACACACACACACACACGCCCACTCATTCCCAAGCCTCTGGTTTCTGCTCAGCTGTCCCTCCAACATTCTCAGATCACACTCACTGGTGGTTTGTTGACTGCCAAGACCTAAAGGTCACCTCTCTGCCTTAGCTCTTCTAAGTGGCTGGCACTCTTGACAACTTAGTTACTTATTTTGGGTTGGCATATACATGTACACGTAGGGTCAGAGGTCGATGGGTAGCTTTCTCAATTGCCCTGCACCTTATTTCTTGACAGAGGGTCCTTTCACTGAGCCTGTAGCTCCCGATTTAGTTAGACTAGCTGGCCAGCAAGCCGGAGGGACCCTCTCATCTCCACCTCCCCAGGGCATGCCACCACACCTGGCTTTATGTGGGTGCGGAGACTGAACTCGCGCTTGAATAGCAAGCTTTTTACCATCTGAGCTTTCCTCTCAACCCCTTTTGGTGTCTGAGACAGTGTCGAACTCTGTAACCCAGGCAGACTTCAAATGCTCAGTAATCCTTCTGCCTCAGTTTTTCAGGTAGTACAATGAAAATGTAAGCTACTACATCCTGCCACCTTAAAACTGTCCCTGCTGGACTTCTGGACTCCGCCCCTTGCTGTCCTACTGTGTGCATGCTCTAAGCACACCTCCATCTGCAGTGAATCCCCTCCCCAGGCCCTCCTCATCCTTCCCACAGTTACCTGTGTCCACTCTTCCCTCCTCCTGGGGACTCAGTCCATCATCTCCTCCAAAGGGTGATAGCTATCGCGTTACCCTATCTACACAACCCTGGGCACATAGCATAGTAAGCTGAACATTGCCAAAATCACCAAAACCAGCCTCTGTAGGTCATCTCCAGACCTGGTTCCTTATGGAATCTCAGTCTTTTTTGTTTGTTTGTTTGGGGGCAGGTTGTTTTCATTTTTATTTTGAGGCAGGGCCCTGTGGCCTGGAACTCACAGAGACCTGCCTGCCTCTACCTTTTGAGTGCTGAAATTAAAGTGCTGGCTTACTTTCTGTTTGTTTGTTTCCTCAGATAGGGTCTCTCAGAGCCCAGGCTGGCCTTGAACTCACTATAAAGCTGAGGATGACCATGAACTTCTGATTTTTCTGTTTCCACTCCCAAAGAGCTGGGGTTACAGGCATATGACCCCAAGCCTGACTTATGTAGTCTTGGGGTTTCTACAACCCTAGAGTTTCACGTGTGCTAGGCAAGGACTTTCTGACCTGCGTTCCATCTCTCCCACCTCTTTTCTGGAAACAGGGTCTCATTAGGTAGCTCAGGCAGACCCAGCAGTCAGTTCTCCTACCCACAATGCTGGGATTGCAGGCAATGTGCTATTGTGCCCTGTCCCTGTTTCCAATCTTGATGACCCACCTTTCCCCCTATTGCCTAGGGCAGAGGGGCTTGCGCCTTCCTAGATCAACTCAAACACCACGTTTTTAACATTGTATCATTCATCTCCCCTTCTCCCCCACATGGCTACTGTTTCTGCTTTGCAGAGGTCTCCTTTGTAACCTAAAAGCCTGAATTATAACATGTTCTGTGTAACAAGTGGGCTCTAGGCTTTACTTTTCTTTCCCTTGAACCAAATAACTCTTGGGGTGCCTGCCCAGTGACAGTCCTGTTTGTAAGAACCCACTGGGGTGCACTGGCCTGGCTGGAGGGGTGCCACAGGACCTCTTGCTGACCTCTCTGTAGCCTTCCCCGCTGTGGCCATAGGGCTGGTGCACACCCAAGCTGGAGTCTGAAGCTCCATTAGAGTGAGGACAGTTCAAATGTCACAGAAGCAATGAAGAGAAGTGGCGGCCACTGTGGCTCTGGAGAGCCTGCGCCTTGGCTACATGCAGCAGCTGTCACTCTGCGCTGGCAGATGGTTGCCATGGAAATACAGGCCCTTGTCAGATATTCTGATTTTCTAATGAAGAATTCCCCAATTTTGAAATTCCAGGCATCAGTGCTTCCTTTTTAAATATCACAGGCTAAGCGTTCTGCTTTGGCTGCTGTTGTCATATTTGGCCCACGGGGCATTCAGTTTGCAGCTGGTGCCATGGAGTCAGGTTCAGGCTTTGGCCCCAAAGGTGGAAACTTGCCTCTTCCTGCTGTGTGCTATGAAGAGGCAAAGGAAGCCCTCCACACAGAGGAAAGAATAGAGCCCATCCTGCTGACTGTCTGTCATGTGCATGTGTCCTGGTTACCTCCTCCTGCCCTCCCTCCGCTGCCCAGGACTATATGATAGCTAAATGTTACATGTTCTGAAGCCTGACGGACCTAGGTTCAAACGCTCGCTCTGTGAATCTCCGGCTATGTGTCTTGAGCCACTCACTCTCTGAGCCTCTATGGGTCACATTCCTCATAAGGTTATCGGCGTTCAGTGAGATTGTGCTTAGAAACCTCTGACCGCGGTTCTCAGTACTGACTAAACACCCAGTGCGTGTCTACTCATTATCCGTACTGCAGTAGATTCGTCCTCCTCTCTCCCATTTGTGTAACTGGTCATGTACCTTTTGCTAGTATTACTCACCTCTATTTTGCCAGCCTTCATACACTATTAAAACAAAACAAAACAAAACAAAAAACCGGGGCATGACTTTGATCCCAGCACCCGAGAGGCAGAGAGGCAGGCGGATCTCTGGGTTCAAGACCAGCCTGGTCTATAGAGCGAGTTCCAGAACAGCCAGGGTTCCACAGAAAAATCCTATCTCAAACAAACAAGCAAACAAAAACAAAACCACACAAAAGAGGGTTGAAGATGAAACTCCTGGCCTCGCACCCGCCAGTGCTCACAAGCAACTGAAAATTTCTAGAGAGAAAGAAGCCATTTTCTCTTTCTTTGTGTGAAGTGAGGTGGACGTGGGGTTGGGAGGAGTTTCAGACATAGCACAGGCTCAGTGAACAAGGGCTGTGGGCCCAGGACTCAAAATTTCAGTTTCACGGGAACAAGAATCCTGTCTGCGTGACTTATTCTTCTATCTCCCAGGCTCACAGGGATCCCTTGAAAAATGGATGTTGAACAAAAGAATGAATGGTGGTGGTGCACGCCTTTAAGGGGGGCAGAGGCAGGCGGATCTCTGTGAGCTCAAGGCCAGCCTGGTCTACCGAGTTAGATCCAGGACAGGCTCCAAAGTTACCGAGAAACCCTGTCTCAAAAAAGCAACAACAACAACAACAAAAATTGCTTCTCACAGCCCTTACCAGCCAGGGCCTGCAGAGGCCAGTCAGACAACTATGAGCCATTGTGTGTGTGCTGGGAATTGAACTCAGGTCCTCTGGAAGAACAGCCCATGCTCTTAACCACTGAGCTATCTCTCCACCCCCAGTACCATTCCATTT